CAGTAATACAATTTTTAAAATTGAAAGTTTAATATAAATATACACAGATTGGAAAAGGTGATGAAGGCATAGTCCATTGGAATGTATATTACAGGTTTGTTTGATATGATGATTGTAATATGCTAAGATTAATACCATCTTAAACCTACTTTCTTAACACCACGTAACATTCATGCTTCGGTTAATTCTTTATTATTATAGTATCAGTTGTAAGTGAAAAATATAATGAAGCACAATATTTAGTCAAAATACTGTGATTAGTATCAGTTGAACCTCTACATACTTAATATATTAGTATCAGCTTCAAAGTGAGGATCTCAAGAAACTTACCAACACTTAATTTTGCATAAAAGAAACCATTGTTTAAGAGTTGATCATAGGGGAAAAGAAATGTATAAATTTATAGGAAATTGATATTTAATTAGCTTCCTGCCTCAGATTACAGTCTCCTTTGAGGTGCAGAGATCGAATAATCTCTTAACAAAAGCCTATTTCATACCCAAGAGGTCCAGCATTACTGGTAAATATAACCTGTGTAAGTAGAAAATTCTCTTTAAAAAAAATAGAACTTGTCAAAAACAATAATCTAATAGAAAAACCAAAAGGTCAAAATTAATACCTTCAACTTTTGACTAGTCAATTCTTCTTCATCTTGCGATCTACAAGGATCTACCAATATAAACTTTTTTTACGTATGATATTCTGTGCCAATCGTATCCAATTATTGGGTGGAATCTTCTGGATAATGCAGGACAACCAATGATTTGTAAGTCTTCAAGATTTGTGAGGTGGTGCAAAGGGAATGACAACAAATTTGGACAATGACCAATTTCAAGTACTTTGAGATGAATTAGAGTTGGTAGCCACTCGGGAAACTCCTTAAGATTCATGCACTGCTGAATCAGTAAGGAACGTAAAGTGTTTGCACATCCTTGTAACCACTGAGGCAAAGTGAGTAGTTGTGGCAAATCAGTAAGAACAACATACTTTAACCTTGAATTGGAGATTTGGCTGCCAAGACCTAATGACAAATCCAAATTGTCGCAGTTTTTTATGACCAAACCCTCTAAATTTCTGATGGCATGGAATGACACCGACTTTAGACTTCCACAATTACATAAATGGAAAGTTTTAAGTGTGAAGAGTTGTACTTCTTCAAATAATGACCGCAGATTATCACAATAACTGATATATAAATTTTCTAAAGAAGTCAATTTTGCAATCATTTCTTCGGGAAAAGCGGCTTGTGTGGTGGTTATAGCCAAGTGACGAAGACTGATGAGATTTTCTATTCCTTTGGGTAACATTTGTAGCTTTATGCATCCATTAAGAAACAAAGTCTGCAAATTTTGAAGTTTGCAAAGTGAATAAGGGAGTTCCTTAAGTTTTTCATTTTTCGCAAGACTGAGGAATCTTAAATGCTTCAACTTTCCGATGCAGCGAGGTAGACTCTCGTATTCACAATTTTTTAAGTTTAAATACCTCAAGCCTTTGCACCTTGACAACAATGTTTTCAAGAAATCTTTATCGCTCCCTCCATTAAGAAAAATGACAGTTCTGGGACTAGTGGGGAGAAGAGTTTCACCATAAAAATTATTTTCTTCAAATGCCAAATGTTGGATATTCTCGGATATTTTTGGATTGCGGTGATCTATTCTTTCAAACTCACCTTTCCCAACAAACACTGCAAGATCAGACACCAAATCGTGCAATTTAAAATAACAATCACCACCAAGGTCAACAAAATCTAAAAGAAACGATCTTGTCCATAGTTCGTGCAAATATTGAGTGGAAATATCAGTCATTGATTCACCTTGCTTTGGTGGTGGAAGAAAACCGAGTGCTCCCCATAACATACAAACCTCAGCAGCAGTAAACACGCTATCCTGTTGGTAAAGGGAGAAAGAAGCAAAACAAGGTTTTAAATATGAAGGGAGTTGATCGTAACTTAGTTTGAGAGCAGGAAAAATGCCTTTTTCGTTTTGTTTTGAATTCCAGATCTCATTATCTCTTATAGACTCCCACTCCTTTTTGTCAAATTTCGAGAACAGTGAACTCCCCAACGTTTTCACTGCCAATGGTAATCCTCCACATTTTTTTACGATTTCTTTTCCAATCTCCGAGAACTGTGGATGCTTTTTCTCATCTCCATCTTCAAAAGCAGATTTCAGAAATAGAGAAAGAGAATCCTCTTCGGAAAGACATTCTAGAAGGTACGAATTTGAGGATTTAGTGTGCATCGCAGCAACTACTGCATGGCTACGAGTAGTCACTAAAATTTTACTCCCTTTAACACTCAAATCCATTATTTCCTTCAACTCATCCCATCTTGCAGGATCCTCGTTCCACACGTCATCCAACACGAGCAAGAACTTTTGATCTTGAAGTTTGTTCCTCAAATGATTTTGAAGTTGCTCCGTCTCAAAGCTATTGAAGTTTACACTAGCTGGATTTGGAGCTGAACTGAGGATTTTAATGAGCACATTCCTAAGTTCAAAATCATTAGAGACACATACCCACATTCTCAACTGAAAACATGCATGAATGGTGGTGTCATTGAAGACCAACTTAGCAAGTGTGGTTTTTCCCAAACCTCCCATTCCAACAATGGGAATAATAGAAAGACTTTCACGATCATCATCTTGTACCAAAAGTTTTACTATTTCCTTTTTATCGTGTTCTCTTCCTGTAACATTGGAAGGGTTCACATGAGAATGTGTCATTTCCCTCAGTTGCACCACACGTGTATCATGGTCAATGATTTGAAGGCCAAACATGCTTCTTTGATCTGCAAGTTTGGCCAACCTGGTGTTGATGTCTTGAATGTGATGTGCCATTCTAAGACGATAAACAACAGGATTACTTGTTGAGAAGAAACGGCGTACCTTCCTTGAGGAGCCACCATAGGTGTTGGCAACATGCTTCCGCAACGCTTCGCAGTCAAAATCATCGACTATGTCTTCAGCCTCAGAAAACACGCGCTTGACTTGAACCAGCCATTCGCTCAGTGCACTGCTATGCGGATTCTTCTGCTCGGCATCTAACAGCACAGCCTTGATAAGTGCTGTAGTCGCTTTCATCTGTTGTAGCTGGCGATCCACACCAAACCCCAAAGAAGCTTCTTGAACGGCAGCAGTGGCAAGCTTCCGTAGGAGCGATTCCGCGAAGCTGAAAAGAAGTGATTCCGCCATGAGTATAAGAGAAGAACGCAATTGTGAATCATTTGACAACATTATGATATTTATAAAAGAAATATATATTCCGTCGGCCTTTTTGGTATATGTGATTCGTACACACACAAAAGACATATAACAGCCTGCATGTATGACATTTATACATCTTTCTCCTTGTTTATCACACTTGTTTTTATCCTACCTAAGACTGCAACTCTCTATTTCAATTCCTAGTAATACTCGTTAGCTCTTACTTAAAGTAAATCAATAATAAAAAACTTAAGTCCTATAATTACTAATTAAAATTATTTTCACTAATTTAACACAAATTTCGTATAGGTTTCATGTACCTAACCACTATTTGGCGTTGACAACTGAGCATCGTGCCAACACTCATTTAATGAGCAAGGTTTATATAAATATTATTTAAAGTATTAAAAGAATTTGAAAGAATAACATTTTAAAACAGAAATGCTTCAATAAATGAATAAATGCATAAGAATAAAACACCTGGGAAATATGCATAAAGCTAACTGAAATATAGATGAAGAGCGGCAATAAAAAGAGTTAATAGTGTTTAAGCTTCGAATAATTAGAATTAATTATGTTTTTTGTTTTTTTACGTATTTTTTGTTTTGATTTCTCTTCTAAACTTTGTTTTATTTAGACTTCTTTTTTTAGAAGGTTACAGATTTAATCCTTCGTAACAAATAATGATACTGTTATATGAAGTTCCATTATTTTAAGTTGATCTTCACATTAGCGAAGGACATGGGAACAAAATAATGTTATTTTAGTAGAATTCGGAAGTGATCACTTTTTAGTATAGCATACATGTCAAAGTTATCAAAATTTCTCCACACGATTTAATAGTCATGCATGCTTCTATTAATTCTTTACTATTATCATCAGTTTTGAGTGAAAAATATAATATGAAGCATAAAGTTTAATTAAAACATTGTGATTAGTATCACTTAATCCTCTACATATACGAAATATTATAAGGAATTTATAGACTCTTTATCCATCCATTTTTGTGCTTTTGATTTAGCTTAATTTTATCAATAATTCATTGGAAAGGTTAAATCTTTATCCGGGCAAAGAGTCTATTTGGAATACAATTTACATTTTGTAAACTTTAATTTTGTTTAAATTTCATTAATGGTTGAGGACTTTAGTATTTAGTAATTGTTAATTGTTATATATGTTTATTTAGAAAGTTAACATTAACATATAATTAATTTTTCTCAATAATATTAATTATCAATTTAATAATAAACCAAACATCATTGAAGTTGTTAAGAGTTTAATTTTCTTATTAGCATACTAATATTTATTATATTGAATCAATTGTTTATTTTTTTATTTTTAAATTTATTCAATTTATAAATAAATAAATTTGGTAAAAAGAAATAATTACATTTTACGGTAAATTAATTAAAAAGTCTAAAAATAATTACATTTTACGGATTTTGGAAATATGGTAAAAGAAACCTTCTTTGAATCGGTTAGCTGAAAAAAAAAACTAATTTAAAAAATTATTTTGAAATATTTTTAAAACAAATGATTTAAAAAGTAACATTTTGTATAAAAGTTAACACAATAATAAATTAAAAAATTACTTTTGAATTAATCAATAATAAAAGTAAAAGGGTCTCATTTTATAACATTAATTTTTAAATTGGTCGTCAAACTTTTTAAAAGCTTCTAAATATACACGATGTTATCTAAGGGTATTTTAAAGTGCTTATGTTTCACTTCCAGCTCCACAGCAAGGATCTCAAGAAACATTCAAAGCATGACAATATATATATTCTTCTTCTTGATTTGACATACACTTAATGTTAATAACACTATTATTTAACATTGACCTGCCAATACCTTATTTTATATACAAGAAAATATTGGTAAGAAAGTTGAAAATTAAAAGAATAAAATGCATAAACTTACAGCAGATACAAATTTTATATGTAAATAGGATATTCTCTAGCTTCATGCTGAATATCAGTCCATTTTGAGGTGGAAAGATCCATAAAGTGGTATAACCTGTACAAAGAAGAAAATCACCTCTTTTAAAATTAGAAAAAACAAAATTATAAAAAATAACTATATAGAAAAATAAAGGGATAAAATTTGTACCTCCAACTTTTGACTGTTATTCGGATGATTCTTCTTCAGTATCTGAATCCTCAATGTGAACTATTTTGATATGTGATATCTTGTGCCAATCTTGTCCAACTTCTGGCTTGAATCTTCTGCATAACTCAGGACAATCAACGATTTCTAAATTTTCAAGATTTGTGAGGTGATGAATATTAGGGAGTGACAGTAGCTTAGGACAACTGCCAATGTCAAGTACTTTGAGACAAATTAGAGTTGGTAGCCACTCTGGAAGTTCATCAAGATTGACGCAATCTGAAATTGATAAGTGTTGTAAAGTGTTTGCAGATCCTTGAAACGACTGAGGCAATTTAACTAGTTGTGGCAACTCATCAAGAAAAAGATACTTTAACTTTGAATCGGGGATTTGGCAGCTAAGGCTCATTGACAATTCCAACTTGGTGCAATCGGCGATCATTAAAAACTCTAAATTTCTGAAGGCATGGAGCGACACCGACTTTAGACTTCCACACTCAGACAAAATCAAACTTTTGACAGTTGAAAGTTGTACTCCTTCGAACAATGACTCCAAATTATCACATTCAGTAAAAGATAAATTTTCTAAAGAAGTCAAATTTGCAATCAATTCTTTTGGAAAATCAGCTTGTGCGGTGGTTATAGCCAATTGACGAAGGCTAACAAGATTTTTCATTCCTTTGGGTAACTTCTGCAGATTTGTGCATCCACTAAGGATTAAAGTTTGCAAATTTTGAAGTTTGCAGACTGAATCAGGAAGTTCCTTAAGTTTTTCCATTTTTGCAAGGCAGAGAAATCTTAAATGTTTCAACTTTCCCATACACTGAGGCAGACTCTCGTGTTCTGAATAACGTAAGTCCAAAAGCCTCAAGTATTTGCATCTTGACACCAATGTATTCAAGAAATTTATATCGCTCCCTCCGTTACGAAAAACAACAGATCTGACACCGGCGGGGACAAGATCTTGACCACAAAAGTCATTTTCCTCAAATACTAAATGCTGGGCGTTCTCCGATAGTTTTGGATTGCGGCGATCGACTCTTTCAAATTCACCTTTCCCAATATACACTGCAAGATCACTTACCAAATCATGCATTTCAAAACAATAATCTACCCCAAAGTCAAGATCATCGGAAAGAAACGATCTTGTCCTTAGTTCACGCAAAACTTGATTGGCAACATCACTCATTGATTCACCCTCCTTTGGTGGTGGAAGAAAACCAAGTGAATCCAACACCATGGAAAGATCATAACATAAAACATTAATGTCAAATTCATAAAGGAATAAAGAAGCAAAACATGGTTTTAAATATGAAGGCAGTTG